CCTCCATTTTCTGCTCTCTCTCTTCCTCCTTTTCTCCATCCCTGCCTCTCCATCTTTCTTTCCTTTCTTCCCTCCCTCTTCATCTCTATCTCTTTTCCCCTCTATCTTTTCCTCTCTCCATCTCTTTCTCACTCCCTCACTCTTTTCCTGTCCCCATCTCCCTCCTTCTCTCTCTCCCTCCCTCTCTCTCTCCCTCCTTCTCTCTCTCCCTCCTTCTCTCTCTCCCTCCTTCTCTCTCTCCCTCCTTCTCTCTCTCCCTCCATCCCTCTTGCTGGCAGAGTCTCCCCAGCACCAAGAGGGCCAACCCCCCAGCACTGAGGGCTCTGGGGGGGGTCAGGGTGTGGGTCTGGGGGCTGCCAACTGGGGGACAGACACACAGATCCTTTTTGGGGGTGCGTGGAGGGAGCGGGGCCTTCACGGGGGGCTCTTCCTCTCCTAACTCCTCCTTCCCTCTCCAGCCTGGATCCAGCAAGAAGGAGCAGGTGGCCTCCCTGGAGCAGGTCCTGAAGGAGGTGAGGAGGAGGGTGCTGGGGTCTGCTGGGATGGGGGGGTTGGGGTGTCCGTCCCCCCCCCCCCCCCCCCCCGCCCGCTTCTCCCCCCCCCCCCCCCCCCCTCTTCACCCAGATCCGTCACAGCACCTAAGTATAAGCTCAATATCCAAGGATTGTGTCTGGATTTATGCTCTGCATGGATTTTATTCTCATTATTATCTGCTCAGGCACCAAGGAAGCTTCCTGAGCACACGTGTGCAGCTGATGCAGAGAAGCAGCAAGAGTTCCTGAGGGTGGATCAATGTACACAGGGCCATGACTGTTTTCTTCTGGGGTGACTACTGCACCAAATCTGACCATGGCAAGGTGAGAAGACACCAGAGAAACTGGTGGGATGAGTCAAGTCAGGGAGATGGGCCCAAGAGCAGCTCTGTACAGTAAAAAGGCCTTTAGGGGGCTGGGAAAGGCACAGGGGGCTGGGGGGTGGGCTGCCTGCCTGCCAGGCCCCCCTCCCACCACTCTTCTCTCCTCTTCCTCCCCGGCCCAGCGGAACACTAAGCGCCTTCACCACCATTTACCAGGAAGAAGGCATCCTCGGCTTCTTTGCGTGAGTGCTGGGGGCTGGGGGCACAGCAGGGGGGGTCTCTGCCCACGATCCCTAGGTGTTGCTCCTTGTTCCCTCCCTGAGGGGCTTCCTGGCATGGATCCAGCGAGGCCCCTGCCTCCTAGGGTGGCATTAAGGCAGCAAAAAGGGGGGGGCCCCCCGGGATCAGCGGCTGGAGGGAGAGGTTGGATCCGCTCCGTGTGGTCCCAGCTGGCCCTTCCCCTCCCGTTTCCCAACCACTCCCAGGTCACCGTGCAGCTGGATCTGGATCCACCCCAGGCTCACATTCCCTCTTCTCTTGCAGCGGCCTGGTCCCCCGGCTCCTCGGGGACATCCTCTCCCTCTGGCTCTGCAACATGCTGGCCTACCTCATCAACACGTACGCGCTGGAGAACGGGGTACGGGCTGAGCTGGGGGGAGCCTGGGAGGGCTGGGGAGGGACAGGGAATGTTCCAGAGGGGACTTGGAGGTGACCCCCTGGGGGCTGATGGTGGCTTTTCTCCTCCCACAGGTCTCTGCCATGACTGAGATGAAAAGCTACTCCCAGGCTGTCACCGGAGTGAGTACTGCCAGGGCGTGTGGCTCCTTCCCATGGAGCCTGGGGGACAGGGATTCCTCCCGGCATTCCCAAGGGATATTCTGGGGAGCAGGGCGGGGCATCCTGGTGTGCTGCTGCTGAGCAGCGCCCCCTCTCCCTTGCAGTTTTTTGCCAGCATGCTGACCTACCCCTTCGTGCTGGTCTCCAACCTGATGGCCGTGAATAACTGCGGGTGAGTCCGGAGGGGCTGGGAGGACCCCCCTCTGGGTCCCCCCATCCCAGATCCGCTCCCAAAACCACCTTCCTGAAGCTCCTGCTTGGCAAAGAGCTTCCAAGCTCACTGTGGGGTCGTTGGGCTGTGATGGGGGGGTGTATGGGGTGGGCACTGGGATGGTTACCAGCCATCGTGGGGATCAGCCCAGTGTGGAGCTGTGGAGGGGATGGGTCCTGGATGGAAATAATTCCTGTGGGATCTCCCTTCCTTTCCCTAGGCTGGCCGGGGGTCTCCTCCCCTATGCACCCGCCTACGACTCTTGGCTGGACTGCTGGAGCCAGCTGCACAGGGAGGTAAGTGGCTGGAACTGGGAATACTGCCCAGATGTACCGGGAATACTGTCCAGATGCACCGGGAATGCTGCACAGACGCAGGGAACAGCCATCTGGGAGCCCCAAAGGGGGCCCACAGCAGGGCTGGGGGCAACCCCCGCTCACCCAGTGCTGACCATCACCCCCTTCCAGGGCAACATGAACCGAGGGAACAGCCTGTTTTTCCGCAAGGTGCCCACAGGGAAGCGCTACGTGTGGGACGAGAGGAGGTTCCGCTGAAGCCGGAGCCGGGAGTTGTTTGGGATCTGGAAGGAAGGAAGGAATGACGAGCGAGTGGTGATTTCTATACAGTTGTGTTGATTTTTTCTTTTCTTTTTTTTAAAAATCACATAATGCTAAGAGACAAAAGGGGGAGTGTGTCCAGTCTGTGCACCCCCCCCCCAGAATTCCCACCGGGAGCCTTTTCCCAACCTTGGACCCGGTTTCGACAGAGGAAAATCCCCCCCCTGGGAGATGGAGGCGCCTGGAACTGCGCGTGTGTCCCCTCCTTGGAACCAACCCCTTGGTTGGAAGGCCCTGTACAAATGTCACAGATGTGTCACCTCTGGGGCCAGGGATAATGATGGGGGGGTGGCAGGGCCCTGGGAGGAGAGTGCTGCCCTGGGACTCCCCCCTTTCCCTGTGCCTCAGTTTCCCTCTCCCCATGCTTCAGTTTCTCCCCCCTTTTCAATGCCTCAGTTTCCCCTCTCAGGGGTAGAGGTAGGATCGATTCT